TCTATTTTGTTCTCTATTCATGAGAATAGAGACTGCACCATCTTTTCAGGGAAGTCTGCTGCCTCCACAGGGTCCAAATCAAGAGATGTCACCAGGAGATTGAATAGCTTAGTACACCTTTCAGACAATTATTCAGTTCTGCTCTTTCATGTGGGTACCAATGAGATTGCCACAAAACATCTAAGGTCTAATCAAGAGAACTCAGGGCCCCGAGAAGAATGCTAAAAAATTTAGTAGAACAGGTAGTGTTCTCCTCTATCCTCCCAGACAGGGAGAGACTTTGGAAGAAAGAGACTAGCCCAAAATATAATAAACACCTGGCTTCAGGACTGGTGCTTCCACCAAAACATATCATATTATAACCATGGAAGAACAAGGTGTGCTGGGGCCTGACAGGATCCATCTATTCTATTGAAGGAAACACATATTTGGTCTTTCAAATTCCCAGACATCAGCTGAAAATACCATATTGCTTTGATGAGAAAGCCTGGGAAATGCTTGAAATTTGTGGAAGGTAACTTCTTGCTGCAAGTACTCAGTGAACCAACTAGGAAAGATGCCCTCCCAGAGTTGCTATTTGTGAACAGAGAAGGAGTGTGTCAGAGGAGGTTCAGACTTGACATTAGGAAGTGTTTATTTACCAAGAGGGTGATTGAATGTTGGAACAGGCTTCCTAGGGAGGCGCTTGACTGCTTGATGCCCCAAGCCTGTCAGTGTGTAAGAGGCATTTGAACAATAACCTTAATAACATGCTTTCATTTTTGGTCAGCCCTGAAGTAGTCAAGCAGTTGGACTTGATCATTGTTGATAGGTCCCTTCCAAATGAAATACTGTTTTCTATTCTATTCATTTTCAAGTACTTCTTATATTTTGCATTTTTCCTACTAAGCCATCATTTTTCTGAAGTTGTTATAAATGCCAAGATCTCTTTTCTCAAGCTTGACATTTTGCACAGAAAAAACCCCATCTTTTTGATGTAATGACAGAGATCTTCCTCTCCATTGCTGTAGTTGAGTCTCAGTCGCAATTTTATGGGCCAGCAACCTGGTATTAGGAAGTTCCATACTTCTTCAGATATTCCTGGTCTTTACAACCCCGAATAACCTTGTATTATTAGGCAGATAAATTTGTATTTCCTCCTGTACCAACTCACTTATTACAATACTGACCAGCAAGTGTTCAAGTGTCCCTGCAGTGGAAATCCATCATGATTTCCCACCTTTCTGAAGGTCAACCATTTCAGCCTTGCTACATTTCTAGTCTCGTAGCCATTTACACATTGTGAGGACTGGCCCTCAAAGCCTATTGTGGAGAGTGGTGCTCACACAACATTGTAAGCCCTCGAACACAAGCTCATTTGTGCTTCAAAGGACTATCTGATGCCTACGGAAATAACAGTGGAGAGGAATGCCTTTTTTTTTCATAAAGATAAAAAGGAAGGAGAGGCTGGGGCAGAGGTCCACTCCAGCTGCTCAATCGTGATATGACTCAACCACACGTACCGTGGTGAAACAATTGTAACAGGCCTATAAAAGGAGGAGCTGTGCTGGTGCTCTTTAGGAGCTTCACTGAAACCAACCCTCCCCTATTGTTCAGACAAACGCTCCATCCAGAAGAGTGATTTTCTGTTATCTAGTTCTCCTTAACTTCTATTCTCTCTCTCTCTCTCTCTCTTTTTTCCTTGCTAAAATGCTTAAGTAACTACTGCATTTTTTCTGAGGTTGTGCAGCTTGAATATATATGTATCCTGACTTTTATAATAAAAATATCAGCCTTTGTGATCATGCAGCCTGAGTATACCTAATGACTGAAGTATCAGTATTCCTTCTATAGTACTAATTAAAGCTAATGTTCAAGTACAGACCCTGAGTGTCGTTTCACCTTAATCCAGTCAAGGTCTGAAACAAAGGTTGGATCCAGTTGCACCTTGGATCCTTTCTGAGAAGAGGTTTAGAAAGCAGAGGGTCAGATCTGAATCTCCCTGGGTTGCCAATCTAGCTAATGACACAAACCCACACAAGGACATTCCCCGATGTCCTAGGACTGCCTAATTATCTTAAAATCTTTTAGAAAAGCAGTCTGGAAATCCAAGTAAATGTTTAGAGAAAAGATATAGGAATTTAATCTCTGGAATTGCCACACCTGAATTGCCATCTTCTGAATCACAGAGTTCAAGTAATTGAGGAGCTGAGCATGTGCAAGGAAAAAGTATTTTAAATACACATACCACTTAGTAACCAGTTTTATTAGACTGCAAAGGGAATCAGCAGACATGTTGTCATTATCAAAGTAAATTTATTATTATTTTTGGGTTTTTTGGGACTATAAAAAAAAAAAGAGTCGTTTGTTTACAAGTTTGCATCTCACTCACTCTCATACCTCTGCTGTAAATGTCGTCTCTTTCTCCCTCAGAGGTTCAGCTGCACCCCATAGATGAGGACAAACACAGCAAAACTACATAACTTTGGCTCAGAATTCTAAAAAAAATTGCTGAGCTGTGAGAAAGACTGGTGAGAAAAATCTGTAGAAAGATAAGTAGTGAGACAGGGGGGTAGGATGACTACAATGGGGATCACTAACTGCTCAAAGATAAATTACAAAGTAATTAACTGAACAGAAAGGTATAAGATTCTGTTGGGAGAAAATGAAGGTGGGTGACCGCCAGTCATCACTGTTTTCAAGGCACTACCTCTTGCTGGAGACAGAAGCAGACAATTCAGCAATGCTGCAGATCTGACCAGCAGAGCTGTTGAAGCAGCTCTGACTAAAGCCTGCCTGGACAGCAAAGAATTTTTGGATATGAAATAAGGGTGGTGAATGTATTTATTTTCAGCTCAATTGCTCATTAAGGCTTGGCTATAATCTGTGAGTGCTAGCCACTACATAATTATTTGTGCTTTTGCATTTAGCTGAGCAAACTATCACTACAAGCATGACGTTCAAGTAAGCCAACCTGAAGAAAAGAGGTAACAGATCAATGGAGAACAAGGTCAGCCTGCAAGCTTTGTAGTCCTCCTGCCTGAAAGGTGAAGAATGAAAATAAGATTGTCAAGCTGTAGCTTACACTGATTTTTGGAGACTTCAGCTCACAAGATAGGAAAAGTTTCCATTAATGGTGGTTGTAACCTAAACACAGAAATTTCCCAGAAGTAAAAAATTAAACTAATTCCTTTCAGAGAAAATTTTAGGGATGTGAGTTATTCAGAAGCAAGTCCTCAAATGATGTCCTTGGAAATGCTGAAGGCATATTCAAAGGTTTATTGCCAGCTGGTTTGTAACAAAGCTACTATTGATCAATATGCATTCAATAAGAATATGTGCATTCTCTTTAAGAAGATACCAAGAGAAAGACCAGGTACTTATCCTGTTCTTCTGATGCCAGCAGACATCTGCAATGCACCCAATAAGGCAGAAATAATTCAGAAATTAGCTGAGAAAATTAGTTGTGGAAGTATCTTTACTGATACTGAGGAGTACAGTCTGTCCTCTGGCATTTCAAAGGATGCACAGAGCTGTACACTGCAGACAACTTGTTTGAATCAGGAATAAACACTGATCACATTTAAGAGATTTATGGTAGCCTTCATATGGGAAGACCTAGGTTACAGTTCAAACTCCTCCAAGCCAGAGCCAATGACTATGGCTTACCTAAGTCAGTAAACCAAGAAGGGCTTTACAAGCTCATTAACAGCTCTCTACAACAACACTGACGGTGCCAGGATAACCTGAGTTCTATTTGCTGTTGTGCTCTACTGCATTACCATATTTGCACTGATATGATGACTGCTTATTTATGCTAAAATGACTGCATTTATTTGCTTGAAAGGATAGACCCCACAGATAACAAGCAAATGAACAATGAACACAGATCAAAGATCCTGGATGAACACTAACATTTTGTATGGAACATTAGTGAAGACGACTAAAATGTGCTGCATTAATTAAGTGATTTATAACAGCTTGCTCTATGGATAAGAGAGGAACTGATCACCAACCATTAAAACAAATTGCTGCTGCCTGCATATATTACTGATGTCTGTAGTAAGGTGTCATAAATGCATTTTATATATGTGTTAGAATAACATACACCTAGCAAATGGTGTTGCTGCTGAAGAGCAACATTTTATATTTAAATAATATTTAATCTCATTTAAACTTTTTTCTTTGCATTTGAAGTTATCACAGGAGAAAGTACTTAGCAGTATGTACATGAAAAGTCACTTCAGATGAGCAGACTCGTTACTTCAATATCCTTCTGGTGCCACAGTTTGACAGATGTTGATGAAGTTGGAATCGTTAATTTATTGGACTGGCCTGATTAAAGTAAAGCTTTGATACAATGTTGCCTTACACCCTAAATGAACCATGACTGCAGAAGAAGAGATAAAAGCACGGCAATTGAAGATCCTTAACCCAGTGGTGATGGCGACTCACATGGCATACATGGAGGCAGAGGCTCAGCCTGATACCAATGCCTAATGCAAAGGACAAAGATGTTTGTGGTGATCAAGAGGTAACACACCAGTGAGAAGTGGGACAGGAGGGGATTGAGCTGTAATCTGTCCCTGCAATATTATCACACTTCTCTTTCATCTATTATCATATCATAAACATAACTTACACACAAAATTCTGTAATGGTGTGGAGAGCAAGTATGAACCAGCTGCTGTTTGGGTTGACAGTGTTGCAGTCAGTTAAAGGCGGCAACTGAGCAACCCAAAGCACTCACTCCAGGAGGCCAGAAGCTGACCTCTCTTCTCCAAAACAATGCAAGTCCAGCCAACAGTGATATTTTTGGGTGTGGTTTCAAAAGTATTGTTATAGTTCGGGGCAGGGAGAGAGGGGTGTTGCTCATTCTTCTTTATTTTACTTTTTTTTTTCTTCACTGCTACAGATCATGAAAGGAAACCTCGCACTGCATAAAACAACATCTGTCAAATGAACACTCAGAAATCTGTAGGGGACTAGCATCTTCCACAGAAATTACATTACATACTTACTGTGCACACATGGGGCCATTTCTCAAGTTGATTGAGCACTGTTGTGCTAAGCTCTTCCCAGTACCTTTCCCGGTAGATCTGCGGCATCTTTGACACCCAGACACCACTGCTGCACTTGCTCAGGATCTCCTTAATGCGACTTTGAATTTCATTGATATGAGTAGCAGAAGGGCCAGAGGCAACAGAATGTGTCTCCGCAACAGGCGTATTCAAGTTGTCTGTTAAAAATACAGCCTTGTATGTAAATGAAGTAAACATAGCCTTATCAGCAGAGAGAAAGACAGATTATTACCTGTTTAAAAATTAAACATGGGAGCTGCCAGCTTAACATCAACTCTAAAATGTGGCTCTCCTGCCCAGCATGGCTGTTTCAGTCACTTCCTATTGGAAAGAGCCACAGAAACCTCATACATTTAGTAATCAACCTGAAGCTGAATTTTCAATGACTTTAGTTATTTTCACAATAAATTGCTGAATGTTTCTCCTGAAGGGATCTTGGAAGAGGTTACAGAACCCTCAGCCATGCTGTCGCTGAGAGGCTGCCCTGAGGCAGCATCCCAGGATGGACACAATATAACTTCTTTACAAACAAACATAACAACAAAGATACAGCAAAACATCCAAGGACATTCTTCTGAATTCAGACAGATGTACAAAACAGACCAATGATTTGCCTTTCACTTATCTGATTAGAAGTCTGAAGCCAGCATCCAGCCCTTCTGTGCTAGTGCAACAAAGGAAGCCCTCCAGCAGAGCAAGGAAAGAGGCAGCACGTGCCCAGCTACTTTGGACAGTTACATACACTGTGTATAGGAGCAAGGCAGTCATTATCCCAGTTAGAGGTTCCTATCACTAGCTTGCCTGCCTCCTCATCCCTACTCCTCTCCTCCCTTTGGAGGGGTGCTTTTTGTACCAGACCTGAAGCTTCACAAATCAGCCTATCAAAGAGAGCAATCATCATTTAATAAGCCAACTGCACAACTGCTGGGCGCCAGGCACGCAGAAGGGCATTTTCTGGTCAGCTAGGTTAGTGTGCTGCTTACTCCTGAGAGCCAGTATTTCATTCTTCCATAGCAGATCCCTACCCTGGCAGTGAAGTGAATACTCCTGATTCCAAGCTACTCACTCACACTAGCTTTATGATGGGTTTTGAGACCTTCTACACAAGGATTTTCCTAGAAAACGGAGAGGAAGACAAGTAAACACACACATTTTCCCAGCACCTTGAAATCAGAGAATGTTCACTCTCAGAACATGGTTTCTCAGCCAAATGTATCTTCATTCAAAACAACTGCTAAGAGCAATTTTTTCTTAAGATTACACCAAATCTAATATAAGTAGTCAAGAAAAAAATTGTTAATAGGCAAACATACCATTTGAATCTATAGAAGAGCTTCTGGACAGGTGAACTTGCAACTCTTTTTGAAACCGTGATGGGACAGTTAGTCTCTTCTCAGACCTAACGTTGAAGAGAAAATTGCTTTAAATAATTCTCTTGGCTCTGAATAGCAGTACATTTGCTTAAAAGACCTGTACACAAAATAAAATGTATTTCACATATTTCTTTCAGGCATCCTGCACAAGATTTCACAATGTCCTGGCTTGGAAGACAACATGATCAGTAGTAACAAGACAGGAGGTAGTCTCTTTTGAATGCACTTCTCTTAAGGCTACTTTTATCCTTGGGTATCTTTCCAACGGGGAATTGTCCATACTAGTAAATGTACGTATAGACAGGTGGGATCCTGAGTTTCTTGTAGGGTGCATGGCCCGTCACAGCACACCTCCCAAGAAGAGGCTGTGATGCTGCTTTATGTGGGGATCTCAGCTGTGCCCTGAAGGTAGAAGGTTTTCCTGTGATGCAAGTGGAGTGTTGGAAGAGTCTTTTTAGATACCGAACAAGTGCAAAGTGTGAACGTGTGTTTTGTCCCACTTGAGTTTCACAAATGTGCTTGTAGTTCATCTGCTGCTCAGTACTTCTGGGCATTCCTTTCCTGCACTGGAAAATTCTGTACTGGGCAGTGACTATTCTCACTGCTAGTGCTGTGGAACACGACTCAGAACAGAGCTATTATTTTTGGTACAAGTGACACCCCATACCTGATGGAGGAGCAGTTTCATGGTACAGGGACAACAAAAAAAGTGAGGGAGACAATTTTATGTTAAGTCTTGATGCTTCCTTAGAAGAGATGTGAATGTGAGAGGCCTCTTTCTGATTTGTGGATGTGCTCTGATTGAAGGTCAGTGTGAATGCACAAAGGGCTATCTTAACACTGTGCTATTCTTGACATCCTGTTGCTATTAGCCTCAGCATTATACTTGACCCCTATCCCATCTTTTAAGAGCACAAGTGAAGCTGGGAATATCCCCCTTGGTGTTTCCATGGCTGGTGAAGTTTCTGGTTTCTTCCAGAGCTGTCCCTGAACATCAGAGATGGCCAGTCTCCTTACTAGCCCTTTGGGCAAAGACCATCTGCAGAGCCTGCTCAGGATATGTGTTGTGGCTGCTGTGGTTTGGAGACACATGGTGTTCCCAGAAACGTTCCATGCTTCTGTGGAGAGCTGTTTTGGTGCATTTACCACCCTGACTTCTTCAAGGCAGTTCTTTCTGGGTGCGTGTCTTCAGTAGGTGCTTGGTCCTGGTCTTGGAACTCTTTTCCCCAACTCTTGTTCCCTACTGCTTGCAGTGTAGGTAATTAATCCACACCTGGTTTTTACTCAAACAGTCTTAATAAGCTAGATGCTGCGGTGACCTCTTCACTGGCAGGAGCTCACTGTGCTCCTAGTATAAGCTGCTGCTTCCTGATGGATCTCAGAACAAAACATGCAAACATGTCATTTGTGTCCTTACTGTGACAGGGGAACTCAAAAAGACATCTGTTGACACTGTAGGAACAGCATCCACAAAAAAACATTGAGTCCCTGCGTAGTTCTTCACTGCAGCTTCACACAGCTCAAAGCAGGGGTTAGGTCAGTCCATGCTCATGACGACAGAAGCTGTGGCACACACAGACAAACTCATGTCGAGTCTCCCTGCTCCTGCTGGGGCCCTGGCCTCACTCTCCTCACTTGCCACATGCAGCACATCTCATCTCTCCCCCCTGGCCTCTGCCTCCAAACCCTCCACTCCTCACACAGACACTGCCAGCTGCTCCAGCTGACTAGCTGCTCCTGCCACTGCTCTCCTCTCATCCACCTCAGCTTCACAGCCCCTGGCTCCTGCTACAACCACCACCTACCTCTTAATTCCTCCATACTTCTGCTTGGGCACATCCAAACAACTGCTGTTAAGCCCACAGCGCCCTTGCCAAGGACACAAGGAGCATCTCCAGCCCTCAGGAGGAGCCTTGCCCCACAGCAAAGCCCCAGCAGACCCACCAGGCAGCCCCAAACCTGCCTCCCACTCCCCGGGGCACCTGCCCACTCCACCAGCAGCAGCACGCTGGAGAACTGCTCAAGGAGCACAAACAGCAGAGCCCTGCTGTAGCAAAGGGCCCTTTGCAGGGCAGCAGGGGAGGTGACAAGGCAGTGCCATCAGCCCTCAGTAAAGTGCTATGCTCCCGGGCACAAAAGCTGCGCTGGCTGCTGCTCTCACCAGGGATCAGAGTGCAGCCTCACCTGCCCCTCTGGCACCCAGACACCTGAGGCACAGGGGACTCACGCAGGCAATGGGGCAGGACTTGCCTGCTGGCCGTGGCTCTTCCAGAAAGAGCTGGCACCACAGCAGGACGGAGCTGTCGCTCTGCTCGCTGCCGCCACCGAAGCCGCACAGCACTGCCATTTCCATTCAGTGCAAGGCTGACTTCCAACCCGCCCGGTGACCTGCAGAGGATTACCACCACAATCACAGCTCTCGTGGACTTAGCACAGCCACAATGAGGGAACAGCAAAGCCCTTCTCGCCACCCTCAGCTGATGGCCCAGGGCAGCCAAAACAACAGAGACAGAAATGATGGGACAGCAGTTGGCTAAAGCCACCTGGATTAGAGAGGCTCAAAGAGGGATGAAAACCAGCAGGTACTGCTAGCCCAGCAAAACTGCAGCTCCAGCCCTGGTCCCGCTTCACCCAAACATGGTTGAGCAGCTGCTGGGTCCTAGTGTGCCAAGAAGGGCCGCAAACACTAGCGCTGCAACGCAGAAGTCAGCCAAGAGGTGAAGAGCAGCCACCTGCAGACAACCATGACCCTGAACACGTAGCATCACCTGTCACCTACACACACAAACCTCCTCCTGCTTTCTATTGTGCTGGCCACAACAGCTCCTTCCTGGCCTGGGAAACATCACCGTCCCCACACAGTCTTCCTGCAACACCTCTGGCCACACTTCTGCCCAGGAGACACAGGGCAGGTCAAGAGCATGGGGTAGCTGCAGCAGCATCCTGAAAGGCAAAGGGCCACTTGTCTTTCTTCTGGGTGTTCACCCACATTCAAACTTCACCTTCTGCAAGGGGAGGACCCTGAATTCCCACATCCCAAAATGCCCTGCTAGCATCCAAGGATCCACCACACTTTATTCCACCTTGTTGTCACACATACACACGCACACACTGACCTGTTCACCACAGTGACATGCCTCTGCATGGGAATTTCTTTAGATGATCCAGTCCCAGCACCTGGAGGCAAGGCAAACCGGGCACTCTCCAGCGTAGGTTTCACCACTCCACATGCCACTCCTCTGCCTCGTGGTGGGTGAGGAGCAGGCCTCTTGCTGCCTTGTTCTGGCATGCTCAAAGTCTTGGGCTGTCGCAAAGTTCCTTTGGGCTTTCCTAAAGAGTTCACAGAAACACCTGTGAGTAGCTCTCTCCTCCACCCAACCCAAAAATACTTGAAGCTCAGCAGGTAACCCTCTCCAGGGAGTCCATGCTGTTCCAAAAGACAGTTAAGAAGGATGCTCTCAGTACTATGGCATCATGGCATGTACCTGAGGACTCACAAACCACAATCTCCACTGTTGCACTGCAGCAGAGAAACAGACAGAAGGCTCTTTTCTCCTTACACTCTTAGAAAATCCATACATCAGTGATGTGCTACAGTAGGTCACATCTCAGCTAGAACCCATGGTCAGGCTGCCCTTTAACACCCAATAGCAGTAGCAGGTCCTGGAAGTGTTGTAGAAGTACAACCAACCAACTCCACCTCCTTGGCCACCTCCTGCACAGCTGGCCCAATGTGTTTTTTCTTCTCTACCCTGATTTACAAGCACCCTCCTCCTAAACTCCCACAGCACAGCAGAGGTTACTGAACACCACCTGCAGAGGAACATGCCACAGTGGCCTTCAGGCCACACTTAGAAGAATGAGCTGGAGTGCACTGCTGGAGGCCAAAAGTGTTGTCTTGTTCATAGACTTTTCCTAGGAAGCAATCACTTCCTTTTCTGCCTTGGCATTTGATTTTTCTGCTTTGTTCATCCTGCCTTGCTTGTGAGAAGAGATCCTTTTTGGAGCTGCAGTTTGATAAGTTTTCAAAGTGCTGGCCTAGTCCCTGAGTTTCTTCTGCCTCATCCCTGTGCTGAACTGTCAGCTTCATGCTTGCTGGGGGCCATGGTTATGAAGGCAGTGGTATGCGCATGGATCCCTTGTCCAGCCTGTGTTGAGCTGGGGCATGGAGAGTATAAAGTGTGGGGTTTTGCAGCATGGTTTTATAGACAACCATCAACTTCTGGTTTATATGCTGGCTGTACCACACTGATTCTGGTGGGCTCAAACAATTCCAAGAGGTATCACCATGCAAGACACTGAACAAACACGCATTTATGATCATCATGGTTCAACTGGGATGAGTCACCAGTTCAGCTGCCCAGCTGGAGGATAGACTGCTGGCATTGTAACAAAAGAGCAAGGAGAAGCAAACTCCTTGTTACAGACAAAAAAAAAAGGGAATACAAACTGTGTGACCCACTGTTGCTCCAAAATGCCAACTTGACAGGCAGACAATGCAGACAGGCCTTGCCTGGGCCTGATCCAGGGATATCCCACTGACAGCAACACAACAACTGCACATCAGTGAGGGAAGCATGACCCACAGGCTCTGAGAAAACACTGCTGCAACACCTAATGCAAAAGGAACAGAGGTACAAACAGCTGCCGCTGGGCATAACAATGTTGTGGCCCCAAAGGTGCTTGTAGCAGCAACTGAAGTCACTGAAAAAGCCACAGCTGACGCTGCAGGGACTACTCATGGTGAGGACATGGCTCATCTCTGACATGCAACAATGGGCTGAGCTCAGCCTCAAAAAACAAGCAGGCTCATTCCCAGACTTCTTGCCTGCAGCTCAACCACATTTCTCACAGAAGCACAGGTAGGTGGAATTAAAGTCAAGCATCCTCCAAGAACTTTTTTTTTTTAAGATCAAAAAAGTTTGGATAAGAGAAAGCTCTGGGGAGACACTATTGCAGCCTTCCAGTACCTGAAAGGAGCCTACAAGAAAGTTGGGGATAGACTTTTTACAAGGGCATCTCGCAATAGAACAAGGGGTAATGGTTTTAAAATGGAAGAAGACACATTTTGTTTAGACATTAGGAAGAAATTCTTTAGTGTGAGGGTGGTGAGACATTGGAACAGGTTGCCCAGGAAAGCTGTGGATGCCCCATCCCTGGAAGTGCTCAAGGGCAGGCTGGATGGGACTTTGAGCAATCTAGTGGGAGGGGTCCCTGCCCATGCAGGGATATTGAAACTACATGATGTCTAAGGTCTCTTCCAACCTAAACCATTCTATCATTCCATGATTATTCATATCTCATGTATGTGCTCAACAAGAGATTTCTCACTGAACATGACTTAGCAGCACAAGCCAAGACTTTCGCAACAGCAGCTTCAGAGTGCTTTCACAAAGGCAGGCCACCCACAGCTGCCTGGGGCTTACCTGCTAATGTGACTGGAGATGTGTTCTTTAGCCTCATCTGGCAGTTCACTTGCCGTCCCATTTTTCTCTTGGAACTCCTCTGCCGGGCCACCAGTTGAGCAATTGGTGCAGTCTCACTGCAAGCAACAGCATGGCAAATGACCTGTTTGGAGTGGGAAGTGAACAGGGGGGAAAACAGTCAGTGAGGCCCCTGAGCCCATTGGCAGCCCACAGAAGGACTTGCAACCATTTTTGTGCATGTAACTGCTGGATCCTGCAGAGCTGCAGGCAGTTCAGCAAAGGCTGCAGCAGCAGAAACAGACCAAACCAACACAACAGACTCCCAAGAGAGTCGTCATGGCTGCACAGGTAAAACAGCCTATGAACACAGCTGGCAGAGTCCTTCAGAAGCCACCAAATGGCCACAGGCAAGAGACAAATAGACCCTATGCTGCAAAACCCCACATTTGAGCGACTCTCCAAGCCCCAGCTCAACACAGGCTGGAAAAGGGATCCGTGCACACAGCACTATTGGCTTCATAACCATGGCCCCCAGCAAGCATGAAGCTGACAGTTCAGCACAGGGATGAGGCAGAAGAAACTCAGGGACTAGGCCAGCACTTTGAAAACTTATCAAACTGCAGCTCCAAAAAGGATCTCTTCTCACAAGCAAGGCAGGATGAACAAAGCAGAAAAATCAAGTGCCAAGGCAGAAAAGGAAGTGATTACTTCCTAGGAAAAATCTATGAACAAGACAACACTTTTGGCCTCCAGCAGTGCACTCCAGCTCATCCTTCTTCTCCTCTTCCTCTTCCACTGCACATCCAGTATTTGCACCAGGCTGGCTCAACATACAGCCACTGGAAGGAGGGCCTATCCTTCTGAGGGACATGTCTCCTATCCAACGAGCCCCTGATTAGGAATCAGGCAGGGTACCCAATAAGCAGTCAGCACCTATGCAAAACATCTACCACCAGCCCCACCACTACAGTGGTTAAAAGCCAGGAATCACAGAAAAACTGAAGGTGCAAGACATCTCCATGGACAATCTCAAACAGGAGCTCTGCTCAGAGCAACTTCAACAATACCTAGCTGCACAGTTGTGGGTGGAATATCTCCAAGGATGAAGACTTCTCAACGACTCTGGACAGCTTGTTCCAGTGTTAAGCCACCCTCACTGTAAAAAGTTGGGAGTTTAAATGCTTAAATGGTATAACCTGTATTTCATTTTGCTTCTGTTCTCTTGTTTGTTCTTCGAAAATTGAAGATGAAGCCTGGCTCCATGTTTTTTTTACTCCCCCCAACAGGTATTCATACAAACAGGTAAGATTCCGCTGAGCAGATTGTTCTGCTCCAAAACAAGCAGTGCCAGCCCTTTGAGCCACTTATCAAAGATGACTCATTTCCTTTATCATCCTCACAGACATTCACTGAACTTGCTTCAGAGTGTCCGTGTCTCTCTTGTTCTGGGAAGAGTGGTACTGGACACAGGTTCCCAGATATGTTCTCACTAGGACCAACCAGAGGAGGTTCACCACCTTTGTCAGTAGACTGGCAAAAATCTTCTTAATGCAACCCAGTATACTACTGGTCTCCTTTGCTGCAATGGCACAGTGCTTCTCACTGTGAACTTCATGTCCATCAAAAAACCCAGGAATTTGTTTGCCAAGCTAATTTCCAGCTGGTCAGCCCCCAGACTGTATGGGTGCATGGAGTTACTCCTCCAGGGGCGCAGTATTTCGCACTTTCTTATATTGAACTTCATAGGGTTCCTGTTGCTCCATTTCTCCAGCTTTTTGAGGTCTCCCTGAATGGCAGCATACCCATCTGCTCTACCAGTCCCTCCTATCAGCTACAGGTTTGCTGAGGATCATCTCTGTCCCATGACTGAGGTTATTTGTGAGCATGTCAGACAACACTGCCCCAGCACTGACCCCTGCTGCATGCCATTGTTGACTACCCGCGGTTTTGTGCCACTGTTATGGGAGAGACTGTCTGCTTTATTTAAAACTTATTTCCAATTAGAGTGTTTGTAACAGACAGCTGCCCATAGATTTGTGTGTCCACTATCCATAAGTCATAAGCTCTTGCTGGCTCATCATCTGTCCCAAGGCAGAGCTTGGAGCATCCCCACTGCTCTCACACTAGAGAGGCTCCCAGAAACTCCCTGCTTCTTGCTGTTCCACTCCATCATTCCTCAGCAGCTCATGTCCATCTATAGCAGCATGCCAGTTTAGTGCACGGTCACAACAGCTCTCCATGACCCTAACGAGTTCACAGCCCTCAATGGTATGCAGACCTCCAGTTTCTCCTGGTTGTGCACCATGCTGTGGGCAGTCATGTACAGGCACTTCAGAGAGGTGCCAAGCTATTTCCGTTTCCAGAGAAGGGTACCAGAGCTTTCTTCATGCTCCAATAACAGAAATTTCCAAGTTTATAACATGGATACATATGGGATGGACGACCTTCAGCCCTGCTCTGTTCTCAGGATCTCAATACAAAAGGCTTTTTGCTTATACACAGCTTATCATTGTTACATAAATGCACGTTTTTACATCTTTCATATATTTCAGATTTTTCCTGTCACTGTTGCAAGTAATTTTCAGCATTTCTTTCCCTTATTTTCACATCATAGTGAATTTAAGTTTAGCAAAAATTATTATTTGAGTTAGAATTAATTCAGATGTATAGAGTGATGGGGTGGATTAATTCACTTGCAGCAGAGCAAAGCAGCCTTCAAATTCCTCATTTTGGAAGGGCCTGGTTATTTAAGCAAAAGCCTAAGTTCCCATAGAGAAAACTGCAACTATATGCTGCCTGTAACTGAACGTAACATGAAGCAAAACTGGGTTCCTTGAAATTACACAACCACCTGTTGCAGGTGCACAGTATTGAAATTTTAGTCCCTTCGGTGTTTTCTGCATCCAGAATTTAATCCTCACTCTGTGTGGAAACAGGAGAAGATATCTATCTGTGTGAAGGAATAATTCTCAGCTTTCATCTTTCCTATATTGAAGAAGCCTAAACTGATGTTCAGTAGTAAGAGGAACCCAGGACAATTTGTATAATTTCCTTCCCAACACAACCAGTTTGTTCATCATCAGTTACTCAGGCAATACTGATATCACACAGAACCTTAAAGAAGCATGTAAAATGTAGCACTCTGATATAAATTTGTATTATTTACTGCGCATTTTAAAGGACTCCTTGTTTAATGTATTCCTTGTTCTGTGTCTTGGATAGGTACCCTAGCAGTAATGAAAATCCTTTTAGGGCTACCTAGACTGCACCCAGGAACATCAGTTGCTAGCAGACCTCTCTGCATGTGCAAGTGCGTCCTGCTTTCCACCCCGCTATCTCCAAAGGGATTAAAAGAAGACGCAAGGATCTTGGCAGTCTTTTTGGAGGTCAGGGTACTCCCACAGCCAGGAAGAGACTGGTTGACTGCATGGTCTTGCAGCAGGCGTGTATGGACTCTGAGCTATGATCTAAGCCTATAATAGGGCTCAAATATTCTGGAGAGACATGAACAAAGAGCAAACTGTTATACTGAAGTACTGCCCAAGCCCTGTATCAGGAAAGCATGTGGAAGCAATTCCAGGTATTCACCAGTCCATACTGCTACAAAACCACACTTATTATCCTCAGCTCCATGTCAACACAAGGGACACCCTGGACAGTGGCAACAGGAGGGTCATCAAACAGCAACACTAGCTCAATCTTTGCATCTCTCTTGCCTCCTTGTTGTTTGCAGGGTGCTTCCTCTCAGTCGCTTCAGTCATGCAGAGCACCATGGGCACTCATAAACCAAACCAAGTCCTCCTCAACTATCTCAATACTCCTGTTCAGAAGCTTTTTTCCTTTTCCACCTTCTAAAGCTACATTTAGCTGTCTCCTTACAGTTGCCACAGAGAAGGCGCCACTTCTAGTGCTATCCAAGAGTCCACAAGGCTCTGAGCACACATCGTATTAGAGGATAAGCAAGGCTCTCAAGGGAACGGGAGGATACCAGATTACATCCTGCAAGGCCCTAGTTAGTAACAGATGGCCATCTGCCAGAACCACCGTAAGGAGGCATTAAATTGCAGCATCACAAGTGTTCCTAGAGGTACCTGCATTCACATTTCTTATGTAGCTGCAGATGATGCAAATTTGCAGCAAGAAAAAAAAAATTCCACACTCAGATTATCTGCTGGGAAAGGGCAAATTCTGACAGTCATAAAAAAGCAGCAAAGAAACCTCTTGCTTAAAACAAGCCACATTTCCAGAAATTAGCAAAAATACCAGTTCACTTCTCAACAGTCTTCACAGCTAACTAATTCTGAGTTACCAGATGAAATCCCAACCCAGCTGAGCCAACACGGGACCTCAGTCTTAAGCCTTGTCTCTTCAGACCTTGTGCAATGGCCATACATCGTGCCAAACATCTGCTAGCTTTCTCCTCTCTCACACTCTACATAGACTTCAGGAACCCAGACATGGCTTCAGCAAGGGAAAGGCTTCAGCCCCACATTTGAGTGGAGCCTTCTCCACTCAAATAATGTACAAGTCACACATCTATGCCAACCACCAACAGAATGCCTTCTGATTCTCCTTCATCTCTGCACTGACTTCTTTTACCTTGCCCACTTGATAAGCTGAGGCATTGCAACTCCTGCATCAAGGCACCTCACTTGCATGGGCTCTTTCTCACCTTTGCAAGTTTTCACAGTCCTGTGACACTGCAGCTTATGACAAGCAAGAGCGTTAAGCTCCAAGCAAGCACTGTCAGCACCCACAGTAGTTTTCACTGTATGAAAAAGATACTTCAACCTCATCCTGATCAAGACACACACACAGTTAATCTCTAAGATCCCAGGACAACCTGTGAATATCCTCTCAAGAGTTAGAAATGCTGGGACAGGAACCAGAGCTCTACAGTCACACAAACTATCTTTCCAGCAAGAACTCCTGTTTCCAGAATAATTACCTGCAACTTTCCACATTCTGCAAACCCAATTTTGCAGTCAGCATGCAGAGGGAAGGAAAATATAGGACACTATCTATGCCACAGTGTCCACTGCTCCCAGCATTAGCAGACCACTTGCATGCTACAATACTTTCCTCGGAAATACATTGTGCAAGCAGCGGCAAAGTTATGAACCATGCACACTTTACAAACACAAAAGTGATTTCTAAACCGTAACTGATTCTTACCTCTCCCGTTTTGTTCCCTTCCATTCTGACCACTCCTGGGATGCTCTCCAAATAGCTTTCCAGTGTGTCATGTCCCAGGTGCCTGAAAGGAATCCACTCGCCAGTCAGGGATTTGTACTCGCCCTGAAGCTCAGACAAAGGTACGCCATTTTTAAAGGAGTGAAGAACGGCTCTCAGTGTTTTTGCAGTAAGTTCAGGCTCCTGCATCTTCACCTATGCCACTTCCATCCCAAAAGAAAAAAAAAGAAAAAAAGAAAAAATACATAAATTTTTAGATACGCAGGCTTTTAATATTCAGCCTCCCTCCCCAGACAAGCAAGGATTCAGTGGCTTCAGAGACTTTAAACTTCCAGGTTGACTTGGAGGGGCCCGGTCCTGCCAGCCAAGCAGAGAGTGGAACAAAACACATAGGGCATGCATGACATTGTCCAAAAAAGCAGCTGGAAGAGCAGGGCAGCCCCACTGCATGGGCTGGCCGTGCCAGCCAATCTCTGCAGACCACATGGTCAGAGAAAAGGCAGGGCTGTCAGGCAGCTGGCCCACCTTACTGCATACAGGGCCAGAACCTCCACCAGAAGCCAGGCCGGGACCCACTGCCCCCTCCCTTGCTACCCAGTGCTCCCTTCCCTTGTGCCCTATGGTGACGGTGACACCAGGCTGCCCATGACTACTCCCCCTCATGCAAATGCACGTCCTGCACCAACACCCATGGAGCATGTCTCAACTCCATCATGGAAACTGCATGCATCCAGATCATGCCACATCTTACCCACAGCTGCACGATGCCTCAACTCCACAGATGTGTCTCTGGAGGGAGAACCCAACAGAAGTGAAACCTGCTCTCCACAAGCTGGGGGCTGCACACAGGCCAGCACCAACACCACCTCATTTCATCACCCAGTGACTGCCCCCTCCGGACAAACGTGCCCAACACTGCGGCGCTGATAAAGATGCAACCGCATTCCAACACCACCAAGGTGCTTCACCTCCAACACCACCTTCCGCAATGCCACAGCCTGCTACAGTGCTGCCACGCAAGAAGGGCGGGCAGTGCAGGAGGCAGCTTCAAGGCAGATGCCAGAGCTAACTAAAGCCCTGCCACCACCCTCAACTCACAGGTGAGCACACACCCAGGGCAGTTCCAGGGCCAGCTAGCTATATTTGTGAAACACCTCATAGCTCCAGGCACAAGTGCTGCCAGTTTGGCTCTGTGGTCCCAGTCAGGCTCTCTTTTCACAGGTGCTTACTTGATGCAGGGGCAGTCTAGCCAGAGAAGGCTCCCTGTTCTGATGGCAGGACCAAAAACAGACAGAGCTCTCATACTACCCAGGAGCAACCCTGCTCTCAAAGTGTGCACTGTACAGAAGGCCAAAACCTAACACTAAGCACGCATGTGCTTGGAACACCTCATCTTCACCCCAGTCAACCTGACTCTGCTGAAGCCACTCCAGTGCACGACACAGCAGGACACAGTAGGAGAGTCCCTCACCTCCAAGCACATGAAGGTGAGCAACTGCTGCTCCTGTACCTGCACAGGGCTCTCTCAACATCGACAGCTGCCTGAAACCACATCGCTATGTGGGAAGCCATGTTAAGGATGTCTCTGCTGCTGTCTGCAGAATCAGCCCCTCAACATTTCCCTTTTTTTAGGGGAAATCACCCCGTGCAACATACAAGTCCAAAACGAAGAACAATCCCAACCCTCAGCATGTTTCAGATGCTGTGCCACACCTTCCAGTCTATGCACGGATACCAACACTGTCTCTGCCTTCCGGCACCCAAGTTCACCACAGCCTAGCTCAGGTAGCAGGCAGGGAGGCACAGCATTAAGTCCTGCTCTTCACCATTCCTCGAACCGCTTTGCTTCATGCACACACAGCACTTCGCTAATCTGACCGTGTCTCTGTGTGTGTGTGTGCATTTACACACAGGCACACTCACACCTTTTACGGACAACACTACATACACACGTCTTTACACATGCACTGATCCTCAACGCCTGTAATTCCTGCCCCTGCCACTCCAATGCGTTTCCTTGCCTGATCCTGGAACATCCTCTATCACGACGACCTTCTCCACAGGCTTTGCTCACTCAGAGACCACAGCGTTACTGCCCAGGCGTCTGGATCCTTCCCTCGACCTTTTAGAGACGCAGCAGCCAGCAAACAGTGCTTCACAAGATGCCCCACCCGAAGAGCCGGAGGTGGTGGCCACTTGCCAGAAGGAAAAAAACTCTGTAAGGTCGTATGTCCTTTGGATTCATGCAGTGTAATGGGGACATCATATGCCAGACAAATGCATAAGTTTTTTAAAGTTTTCGTTGTATAAAAAAAGACCTAAACACCACTGAGAAGCACAGCAAAAAACACAGTTCCATTCCAAATTGTGTTCCAGGTCACACACATACAAAGGACACAGAAAAGTCAATCAAATGCATTTTGGGGGGGCTTTTTCTTTACTTTCTCTTCTACACAATAGACCTACATCCTTATTTCATTAATAAGGCTCTTGAAAGTCCTCTTACCTGAACTACCTGATTTTAACTTCCTGGTCAGGAAAAGTTAAGAGAATATCCGTTGCAGTTGGGCAGAAAGAAGAAGAAAACCCACAAGGACCTGGGAAGGCAGTTTCAATGGTTGATTCAAAAGAGGAAACTTCACTAAAAAAAAAAAGAGGGGCAGAGCAGTGCAGGAGATGACATCAAGCCACCAAAACGAAACAAGTCTGCTAGTCCAGCACTACCAAACAGGAGAGCACCGATTGCATCCCCCTAACCTGCACGAGGAGCAGGCACGAGGACTATTCTATTCACTCAGCTGAAGGAGCTGACAGGTACTAAAGGTTAAACCTAACGCAGTCCTTATATCCGCACGACGCT